TTCGGACTTTTGTAAAGCATAACAAATGAATCTATTTGTCTAAGAAAACGATTTGTCATTCTGTTATAATTACCGGTTTGTGACGAAACAAATGCTTCGAAAACTGATTTGTTTATGTCATAAAGAATCCGTTTGTCACTTGTCGCCTTCAGCTATTTAATGAGTTGTAGCGGAGATTTCTTTGTCAAGTTTGACTAGTACTTCGTTTGATTCGAAAAAAAAAATTATTCTTTGAAAATGGGCGGAGGATAATCGAAAATAGATGTTAGTAATTGCCAATAATCGAATGTATGCTTTTTCACTAAATCTCCTTCAACAATGTGGCTATGTCATAACCACAACTAGGTTAAAATTCATTACAAAATCGTTCATGTATCTGAATTGAATAACTAACTAACTGGTAAACAATTCCCAATGACATCGGGACAAGAAGGCGTGGCCGCCATATGATTGATTAAGTCGTCTCATTGGTGTCCAACTCGCACTGGATAAAAATGAAAATATTATCCTTCAAATGCAAAATTTCAACTAAAATGTTCCCGGCCAAATTATGATTTACAATTTGTAATAACCCTTTTTTTTTTATTACGCAATAAATACTACAAATTGTTTCACGGTTATTAATATGAGTTATTTATGAGGTCACAAAAACAATTTATTCCTTATAATTTTATGTCGTCATAAATGTCCAAATAGTCTTCAGACGATAAATAGTCACACCTGCGCAAAAAAATAATTGAAGTTTTTGTTTTCCATAAGCAAAGACAGTATTGATCCTATGAATAAATTAGAATTATTATTAATTACTACTCGGCGTCTGAAACTTTTAAAAATGGCTCACGGATTTTTCGCACTTAGGAGCTGTTATACTTGAAAAATAATGAAATAGAAGTTTTGAAGAGAGACTTGCAAATACACACTCTCGTGAAATATGAAATCATGACGTCATAGTAAAACGTGACGTCATTAAAATAGATACCAGTATAAAGCTTTTAGTAAGCTTCGGAAGACTTTAGCCTAATAGCCCCCTCTATATACTAATGTTTATGAGTAATGAATACGAATAGCGTGCGAGGATGACCGTAACATTATTACCTAATAATGGCAAACCATTATCTGTAATATGATACCCCTAAGTCTTCTAATCCTACTTATGACATTCGCCCATATTGAAAATGTATCTGAAAACAAGGATTTTCGTCTTGTCGTCTGCTAAAATTTGCTCAATTATGACGTAATACAGGCTGAGGTTAGGGTAGAATTTCAATTTTAACCCGGGGAGCGGAAAGTCAGTGATAATGCTTATAATCCGTACGGTTACAAGTACAGGTATGCGATTATGGGCGCGATGGCGTAGTGGTTATAGCGTTGGAGTTAACTGAGTTGGCATCGTAGTTAAAAAAAATCGAGAATAAATACCACAGTTCTTCCGGTTCTTTTAAGATATGAGCTTCTTCTAATCCTCTTTGTTATTTGATTACTGAATTGGAAAATATCACGGTCTTTATCAAAGCTATATTTCTCTAAACATGAATTGTTGCTTTCTTCACAATGTTGGACAAAACTAAGACGACATTGCAGGTTTAAAAACCTCGGGGTGAAACGCACCGCCTCACCAAGGGTGTAACAAATTAGGTAGACGGCATCAGAACTTGCAAATCTACATTGCCTAAACAAAGCCAGCCCCACTTTGTTCGTGATGTACTTGAAGAATTTTTCTCCCTAAGTTATTTTGGGAAAACTAATTGATGGATTTCTGGCGAAAAAGCGTGAAAGCTACTCTGTCATCGTATGCATAATCCCTCTATGGGAAATATCCGATCTGGCAAGAGGCAATGTTAATCATTGCAAAATATATACCACCAGATATGGTAAATCGTAAGGCATTATCGCTATCTCATGGACCATAACTAGTTTCATATTTACAGTGTAAACCTGACACCAAGCGATTTTACGTTAGTCGAATATTTTAGACATCGTCTCACGAACGCGGGAAACAATTATTACGTCATAGCAGTTTGTCTTCTTCAAATTCTTATGATTACCTCGTGTTGGGCTTCACGATGGCCTTGTGGTTGAAGCGTTGGATTTAACTATACTGACTATGTTGATCAAGACAATCTCGCTTACGCATCCCATACTACCCACTGATGCCCACCGCCCCCTCTCGGGGCGTAGAGGCGAAAAGATTCCGGCTCTGTTCTAAATTATAGTAACTGCTTATTCAAATCTCTGTTTGAAGCAAAAGCAAAATCCCGAAAAGACCCTCATTGGTTTCGTCATCCAATCACTCTTCGTCATAATAGACAGATCCATTTGTAATATTACGCAACAAAGTGTGTAAAAATAGAATCTTCATACAAAAAACGTTGTGATTTATATACAAGGAGCGGTCTGTCCGGATTTCGTTTTTAATTTAAACCACCGATAATCTAAAACCGGACGTCGTGGGGAAAAGTTAAGACTTCCGCCCTGAGAAAACAAATCCATTCACGTGCAATGCGCCGGTAAATTTGACCTAGCGGGGGCTTCGGGTCACGCCCCCTAAGTTTCGTGTTAGATTATCCTAACGCCAAGCGTTGCCTGGGCTGCTATAAATCACAATTACAAAAGCTTAACGATCACAAACGTTGTCTTGTGCAAGTATCCAGTCTCTGATATTACGGTTATTCGACACAAAGTGGACATGCGGATCGTTTTGTTATTATTATGTTGCTGATCTTGTTTTCAGCTATCTTTACTTCTTCTTGTTATGAAAAAATCGCTTTTCTCAATAACTACTGGACCAGTTAATACTTTCCGTTGTTAACGATTGTATTTTTCGCCAGTTGGCTATTACTTTCATTTATTTCAAATGTTTCTGTGGGCCTATTTATCATAAAAATTCCTTGTGCAGTGAAATATTCATTTCCATTTCAAGTACGGCCGATACAACTCCAAAAGGTATTTTAATGAAATACAACCCCCTATTGTAAACCCCAAACCCCTAATGCCCCTGTACTTATCTCTATTTATCCCCTGCACCCCCTTTCGCGCCGCTTAAGTGCGTTCATGCGAAAATTGGCGCGTTCTTTGTGTGATCACAATAGATTAAACTAAGAATAACATTGTGAGGTAACAGAAGATATTGTTTTCTCATAACAGAAAATGGAGCCAAAATAACAGTCAGCAGAAAATCGTTGTTTTGGGTTAAAAACCGCATAGTTTGTTCAGGGCGGATAATGAGGGAACAGTCTAACTGATGGTTATCTAAAATTGATTGCCAATATTTCCAGTAAAAAAATCGTTACAGATATATATATTCATTTTTTCCTGAAATTTTCATTTTTGAAAATTTGGTCGAAGAAAAACAATATGCACTCTCTTTTTCAACCGGAGTTAGTTGCTAATTTTTAATATCAATATTCAACAGAAGAGAGCTATTGAGGTTTTTTAAATGTGCGATTGCTATAATCATAACGCGTAAATGCGAAATTCTCCAACATTACATATATAACACAAGACCGATTTCTGATTTCAAATCACAACTTATATTGAGTGGTTAGCTCAGTGGCTCTCAACTTTTTCCCCTCATGGCGGTTGCACAAAAATTTTGTGACCCTTCAACTTTCTCATGCAGGGGAAAAACTACATAAAGTTATTTTTGCCCCCCCCCCCCAAAAAAAAACACTTCCAGTTTATAATTAAAATGAAAATTACCACTTAGTAGGGCAAATGTGGGTTCTGAAATTGCTATTTGCCAAGTTAGATCGAAACAGCTGGCGGGTCCGGCCGAACGCCGGAAAACGTGTGTTTTCGTGAGTCTTGAGAGTTTAAAAAGCGTTTCAAGCTACGAAAAACCGCTATGTGTGATACAAAAAGATATTTTTATTTACCTTACTGACCGTACCCCCCCCCCCCCCCCATGACCGGTCTCGTCTAATCAGATCGTTCACTTTCTTCGGTATGAATTAAATGAGCTTTTACGAATAACCTTTCATATCTCGCAAGCCTAATAGGGTGATTAAAAACAAACTCATACATTGTGTAGAGTGATTTCAAGTTTGTTAAATGCGAAGAGTTTAGTATTACATGCGGTCATAATTTACACGGAAGCCTAGATACCTATATTCAAACTTGGCATTAGCTTTTGCAAATCAGGTATTTGGGGAAAACGCAAGATGTACCCCCACACCGGGTGGCCCAACTTCGAGGTCGCTTAGACGGGATTTGGCTAAGCCGCTTAATCTTTTAGTTGTCCTGGTAACGAAGGCAAACATTACCATATTTGGTGGCATATGATGTTCGTGTCTTCTGCAAAACTTCTTCTATTATGACGTATTGCTTATTCAATAATTGTAGTTGTCTTCGCGAAGTCGAAGGAGATAGTATTGTGTTTCATTGCTTTCGTCATAAATATTACATTGAAATGACCTTGGGGAGTGACCTTCACGAAAAGGGTGTCATCCATGAAAAAGTCAATATTTAATAATACTTATATGTGATATTTAATAAATATATTTACTGAATTACGGACAGTGTGGCGAGCGACAATGGTCAGTTGAAACTTCACAGAAAAGGCTCAGTGGTCTGAGTACTCTACCTACTGGACCCTTTCCCAGTAAGATTGTCGTGATATGTTTTCCACTTGTGTGGGTGGATGGGCACAAACGCTGGAATCTTTCTCTAGGTTTTGCCCATTTTCTCGATCTCTCTGTCGTCCTTGTCTGTTTTTATTTTTTTATTTATTCATGTTCTGTGTTGTAAACGATCGAAAAAATTTTTTGAAATGGCGTATGAATTTATGTCTTACTGTAAATACCACAAAATTGCATTTAAAAAAAAAGGTTGAAATTTTTATAATAAAATCATGTATTCAATTTGGACTGTTACCCGCACGGAGGTTTGTGTATTTACTCCCTTCTGGTGTATTGAATAAAAAATCCTATTATCATTATATTTATAAAAATAGAAACTTACAACGTTGTTATATTTTCAATAACGCTTCTATTTTTCTTCAGATAAATACTGTGGCAACGACGATCTGGACAGAGTGCAATTAACGAAGAACACAGCTACAGTTATATTTCGAAGACCGAAAGAATTTTCTGGCAACGGGTTCTTGGTTTCATATATTGCAACGAAGCCCGGAGAAACAAAGGACGGTAGGTGTTGCCACATTTTTTATTTGGTATTATGATCATTAACACAAGATCACTCTTTTGAATTTGTCCTTGGCAACTATTGATCGTTTTAGCACGTGTCACGTGTGAATTCAGCTGTGCATAGGCTAGGCTGGGTTTGCACGTGGCTGCGACGCCATCGTCGAAGTAAACCTCATTCTTTGACGATTGACTTGGCTAACACAGACAGTCCCCGAACTCGTATTATAACTAAAATAAGGAAAATAGGAATAAAATTATGGCCTAACGATAACCTGGTACACATACAACGGGAGTACCACAAATTGGGTTTACTACATTTTCAATTTGTCTATCAAAAACTTAGCTGTTTCCGTATTGCTATATGCTTACCTAGAGCCCCAATTTAGCTCAAGTATTTTTGTAAACCAGTCCACACAGCAAGTCCGAAAATTCAACTGAGGATAGACAATTCGTCACACGACTTCACAGCCAAACTATTAAATACTGCTTTCCAACTATTTTGAAAAAAACGTGTGAATTTTTATGTCTATCCGAAAATAATAGCTTCTCCTGAATCTGTGTCTTGTTTGGAGTGAAATGTGTGTAAAACATCATGCGAAGATTCTGTAAAAATATTTCTCGAATAATATCCTAATTTAACAGCATTATGTTATTTGTATTGGAAAATTGCAATATTAGACTTTCGTTGCGCGTTAATTCGATGTACATGGAATATCAACTTCAATTTTTTCGTGATTTAATCCGGTAATATACTGGTGTCCATAAAGTTTCTTTACAATTTCTATTTTGTCATGAAGTCAGTTCTCAATATATCAGGTTTTTTGTTTTTTATTCAGTAATTGTTCAAGTATTTTTACTTCATTTAATATATATGTGAAAACCAAAACAATATATGGTATCGATAAATTTCCTTCGCAATTTTAAAAATAGTGTAAGACTTTATGGACACTCTATATATGCAATAGCAAACTAATTATCAAACCTATAGAATACTACCATTGAGGCAAAGTAGTTTTTGTCTCGGCACGGATGAACGCATCAATGCCATCACGCAAGGATTAAGGGAAGACTAATGTTGGAAGAGAATTAGGTGATGAAGTGTGACAGTTGACTCGTTAATCACCTATAGAAAATATGAACTCATGAACGGGAAATAATTTTTTGAAATTTAAAATTTAATTTGAATTAAGCTGCCATATTTCTCTCACCTAAAATGGGTAAAAAATAGTTGTGTGGACCAAAAGTAATCAGACTTCATATTCCTACAATTTCATTTTATTTTTGGTCATTCTGACATAAAACAAAAGAACAATAAACGGTCAAACAAAATGCACGGGACCTACGATGGCCTCGTTTTGAGTATTGTTTCAAGCTATATTAGTTATGCATGTTGAATACGTAAAAAAACAACTTGAAGTCCATTGCCCTTGAACATGCTGTAATGAATGCGGAAACGGAAAACTTGAAGGCCGTCGAAAACGCAACCCTTTACATTTCATAGTCTACACGCCCAGTGTCTTCTGCTTTAAAAAGATAAAACAACAATAAATCGACGCTAAAATCGATCAGTTAACGCCGTAAGTGTTAATATGAGTCCCAACTAGTGCAGGACGTCTAAAAAGATTACAACAGCTTAAATACTTGGAGCACTTTAGCCTGAAATCGAATCCACTGCTTCGGCTCAAATTTCGTCGTTGAAGGCGACAGTTGAGACGAACAGCAAGATAGATTGATGACTGAACAATGGTGAAAGATGAACCGTGAATTGTTTTGTCACAGATGCAATCGTTAATCGCAAAACAGGCGAAGCGTTCAGATTTGGAGGCCCGTCGCTCCTACCAAGGTTATAAACAAGACAAAATTGTTGACTCAGGGGGACTGGGATTATAATGATTGTTATCATTCGCAATTTAGTATGTTCACTCTATATAACGTATTTGCACGAGTGACCGCCGATCTGAAATTCGGGCCACCAACGCTTTGCAAACAAAATAACCATATGAATTCCGCTCAAAATTATCATTTATAAAAAAACACGAATATGATATTGTTGTATATGCTGTCATCTCTCACGAAAGACATAGGCAACCAATCCAATGCCAAGAGCTTCAGAAACTATATAGAATTATGATGGTACATACAGCACCAGTACAATCACACGGAATATGGAGTTCAATAAGAACCAGAAAAACATCCATTTTGTTAGAATACTGAACTTTTTACAATAAGTCTTCTGTTTTTCTGGTTACACTGACAGTTAATAGAGCCCCAATATCTTTTTAGTGTCTTTGTTTATTGAACATATCAAATTTTTTGGCCCAAACAACGAGTATTTATTGTTCAAAACTTTGATTAAATCATTTTATAAACTTATTATATGAAAACGAGGTGTCAGAAAGATTCAAATCTAAGTTTTCTCCTTTCCCAAGCAAGCTAGTTAGCTTAGTCTTCAAGTTTCTAGTGGGTAAAGATGAGCTTTATGACGAAAGATAACGTCACAATACCGACTTTGATCATGACTTAGATATCTGTAATCCAAGATATCCATCGATTACGTTCTATCACGTATTACTTTTACCATAGCCCCGAGGTAGGAATGATACTACTTAGCTAAGCCTCATTGTTGAGGCTTATAAATCTTATGTAAATACTTTTGGTCTTGGTTCAACCTGAGGGCATTCTTTATGGCTTTGTTTTAAAATTTAATAAAACTTGTGAATTATTCTTTTCGAAGTAATAAGTAATTCGAAAAGCGGATTATATGGGGTTTCGCTTTTCCGAGTGCTTTACATTTGAAGAAATAGTTAACTAAACCAAATAACTTATCTATCGTAAGTTGCTCATTTAAAAGTAATGACAATGAGGTAATTCGCAAAGCCGCTTTATAAGTAGACTCATTGCGTTTTTTACTATCACAAACCGATAATGCATAACCAAAAGCGGACGTGATTTTTGTATTCTTTTATCACATCCGAAAAAACGAAAAAGATATTCTTAGATGCGGCAGAAAATTCATCAATTAATACCGAAAACTGAAGTACCGGTAATTTAAATAAAGTATTTCAGCATGGTTGTTCCTCATATGATAAAAAAATTATTATTTTTCAGATTTCGTTACCTGCGTTGATCAAGGTAAAGACCATGTTGGAGTTGGATCTTACAGGTACTTTATTATTGTAAACTTGTCCCGACTTTCGCTGATTTTCTTGCAGACGGGCCACTAGTATCCTTAAAATAGAAAAATTTCATTTATTTTTTGAGCATTTGCTAACAGCAAAATTACACTTGCTTCTTCAGAAGTAAAGAAAACTTGTCTTTGAGCAAATTTACATGCACTCACTCAGAAGTAATGCAGACTCATCTCTGATCAAAGTTACGGGCGCTCACTCGGAAGTACATGAGACTCAGCTCTGAGCAAAGTTACGGGCGCTCACTTGAAAGTACATGAGACTCAGCTCTGAGCAAAGTTACGGGCACTCACTCAGAACTAAAAGAGACTCTTGTCTGAGCAATGTTACATGCGACCACTGTAATGCCAAGGGCGCTTTTTGCGCGCTGGTGTAATAAAGTGAGAAGGCAATTTTTAATCAAAAAAATAGGACCCTTTTTGCATATCATTATCTGCTTGTACAGCGCCATGCTCGAAGAAGTAAGTCTTTGTCTGTTTCCAGACGACAGATTTAAATTTTTGTGGTTTCTTACGTCACAGTGCGTGATCGTTCGCTGGCATTTTACGCTCGACTGAGCATAATTTACGCTTGAATTAACTTCTCAAAGCAATCTTTCAACAACCCCACGCATGTCACCGTTGACAAAAATTAAATTTCAATATTTGTCTTCAAAATTTGTTGTCTGAGTTTGGTTGAGAAATACTGTATTCTCTCATTAGTCGTGCATTTATGAAATACCTATTGCGACCTTTTCACTCCGAAATAGGCGCTATGTAAGCAGCCGTAGATACAAAACTATTTCAGATAGCAGGGTAGATACTCGTAGCATAAGATATTCGGTACTCCCGAAGTATGTGAACCAAGATGGCGGACACCGGAACGTAGTATGTGTACCAGCTTAGAGTTAGGCCATAATTTCGGGTACAAATACTATGGGAGTCACTTGGGTAGCCCCCGAACACGTAATAGAACTAAAATAAGGAAAATTGGAATAAAATTATGACCTATCCATCACCTGAGACACATACTACGTTCTTGGCTCCCATACTTCGGGCTTACTTTGAACATACTTTGCTTCATGATCTTTGTTAGGTTTTAAACTTTAAAAAATAGGTACAGTGACCTAATGAAATAGAACTCATTCATCATGTTTTAAACTTAATAACAAATCGCCCGTATTATCGGGACTACATCGTGTTCGCCAGTAAAACGACTTTTATCACTTCGAATAACACTCCGTACAAACGGTCTCTGATATATAAAAGTCACCCTTTCCGAATACCACTACTTTTTCTTGTTTGGAATTCCCTTTCAAAGAAATAGACGAGATTTCTCCATTCTGTATTTTGGGACCAAATATAGGGAAGTCCACATGATATATTTTGGTAATTTGGAAGGGCTTCAAAAATTGTTGAATTATCCTTTTTATACCGGGAGAATGCGACTAAATAAACTTCAACAATTTTTTGCTACATTGAGTGATTTTGAACGGGAAACTATGTATATTTCCTCTCGTTGCGACTAGGGCTTCAATTCACTGGTTTCTGGCAAAGACATGTTCGCCTTTTTTTGAGAAAATGTTGCGCAAAGCGAAGTATCGCTTATCATAAGTGAAGAAATTCATTTTATAGCAAAGATACGGTGGTCAGTGGTCTTCAAGCTTCTATCAGTACTCCATCTATAGTAATTGAAGTAAAATTTCATGAAAAAACACAAGCCGACAATTTGATGGTTTTCTCAAAATGTTTTCCGCACTTTGGTCATCTGTTTCACGATAGCGTGACAGACACCAGACATTATTATAAAAACAATGAGAACGATTAAATGATCACTTACGCACACTACCAACTTTGGACCGGCTATGTGGTACGTTTAAGCAACGTTTTGACGATGGGAATAGAATTATAAATTGATCATTAGCACTGGCTTTTGCACTGTTAAAAAAAAGTAAAATTTTTTTCGATTTGTTCCACATAATAAATTAGGAATGACAACAGGACTTGCGAAGTTGCGATATATGTAAAACATGTTAACAATCTCCTCCTAATTTTTCGTGAGCAAGTAAAGCAAGAATGCTGTAGCAAGGGTGATAATGACTATTATAAGTGATCCGAGAGTTTTGCTGCACGAGATAAAAATATATTTTTGTAAAATTTCGCCTAACCAACGATCGAGCCTTATTAAAAATATATTTCATGAATTTTTTTACACTGTTTATGACCCATTTGCTCATCATGACTATTTTTTCTAGTGTCCTATGTGCTGGCGGATGCGGCAACATCACAGATCTATCGGTTCGAGGAAAAGACCCATACAGAGACGTAAGTAAATACTTGATTATAAACTCGGTAGTTTTCTGAAAAGAACTCTAGTCAAGCAAGCTACGTTTTATGGGTTGTCTTTCTGACCTTCCCACCTATAAAAGCTTTGAAGAAGTCACTGATATGTAAAAGACAGAATCTTTTCAATTCGGCTTAGCCTAATATTACCCGCCATGTGCTGGTCCTTCCAAACCTGTGGTTACCAAAGTTGATTGAGGCCAAAATTAGAAGCGGAAAGATATTCGCGGGCCAGGAGAGGAGGGTACATATAATTAATATACCGATATGATTTAATTGTGACGAATATACACGTGCTTAACTATGATAATATCGTAACAATTGGTGGTAAAGAAAAAACATAAAGTGTTAAACTATTAAATCGACGGGCCATATTTAGTCGTTATGTGGCCGTATTTGGCCCGCGGGCCACAGTTTGGGAATCACTATTGTGGTTGTACATTCTTGTACAGAGTCCTGTTACAGGTTAAAGCATAGATATGGTAGATTTTTACATATCTATTACCACTTGTACAAAGCCGTGTTAAAAATGAAAATCGCTGATTCAAAATACTCTCATTGAGGTAATCCTACTTGAGTTTTATTAATTTTTTTCGTGTTTTTCTTATCACATCCTATAATTAAGAGATTAAAATACTTGTAGATCGAATGATTTGACAACCTGAGAACATAACTAAATATTTTCTCGATTACCTATCTTATCCTATGTCGTTGTAGAAGGTCGGCCGCCTCGGTAATTTTATTCCAATTTTCCTTATTTTAGTTCTATTACGAGTTCGGGGACTAGCCAAGAGACTCCCATAGTATTTGTACCTAAAATTATGTCCTAACCCTAACCTGGTACACATACTATGCCCGCCATTTTGGTCCACATACTACGGAAGCGCTAAATTTTGGGGTTGGCAACAAAATTCTGCTTATTTGAATCCTTGTTTATAAGAATTATGCCCCTAATAACGATACTCTTTGTAATATTGTCGCCGTTCGGTGACTCTGGTAAAATTTTGCCTGAGTGGTACAATTTTGCCCGATTTAAAGATAGCCCCTTGCTCAAATTGAGAAGATATCGGTCGTTTCAAAATATGCTCTTTACCTATAAATGTCTGCTTGGTTGGAGTTTTGTTTAACGCAGTGATGTGAACACCTGTTACAGGAACTATGCTAATTTTTTTTCTAAACGTCGTATAGTCTGACGAAAAAGTTTTTTTCCAGAGCGCAGTTAATTGGGTGGGCTGGCTATCTTGCGAGTTACGAAGACTTCTTGCAATAACATAGATCACCTTAATACCAGTAGTGGAATATATATATATATATATATATTGGAGATGTTGTTCAACCTTAAAAAATGTGACACCGCATATAGTGGGTATTTCAATTTTAAAATTTCGTCGATTAGTCAGACTGGCATGGAGCTGCCCAGGGTTTCTATACATAATGTCACCAGACAGAGTATAATAAAATTGATGGGCGACCCGGAAGCGGAAAGATTTTACAGTCTTTTAAAATAGTAGCCCCGCTCATATCAGTGGAAACTTCTACATAGTATTGTTCACCGCCGAACTAAGAATTGTGGTACTTTTTGATTTTTTGGATAGTTAGAGTCTAACATAGTTTTGCCCAGGGCTCCTAAATATGATAAATGAACTCAGAATCTCTTTTATAATTGTTATTTTCTCGTCACTTAGCAATGAATTAGTCAGAGATAAAAAATAAATAAAGTGTCAGACGGCGATTTTATCAAGTTGTGAAAGAAATAATTACGTTGTTGGTTTGGTTATTCAGCCTTTCGAAGTAAGGTCATGAGACCTTGTTTATTTTTCTAAGAAATTTTGCCCAAACCCAGTTCACGCGCACTCACTCATAAGTGAACGAGACTCATCTCTGAGCAAAGTTACGGCCCTTAGTCAGAAGTAAAGAAGACTCATTATTGTGCAAAGTAACCCTCAAAAAATTGTCTACGTTCAAGAACCACTCCTCTAGTTATTGGAAATTAAAATAACATTGAAATCAATTTTAGCAGCATACGTTTGCAGAAATTTGAGTCGGTAAACACATGAAAATCGACGAATTTGCGCGCTAAAACGGCGTTATTTTCCGCTTCAGTGGAGTAAACATGAGGATTATTAGTTTCATCTAGTTTCAGGTTAGGCAGCAGGCGTTCTGCATGAATGCATATCGTCCGGCTAGAAATATTTATTACGACGATTATGTAACCATGATCACCGCCATTTTATGCTTTATTTTGTCATAATGCTAACATTCGTGTCGTTCGTCATATATTATTTTAAGTTCGCTACAAAAAAAAATCCGGTTGTAAAAATATGACTCCAACCAAATCAACTTTTTTTTGCCATGATATCGAAATCTTAGCATATTGTTCGCACATTTGACTCCGAGTATGCTCCGATACTCAGCGATATTCGGTTGTATTGATATAATTAAAAAACATGTCCGATTTCATTAATTCCGATTTCTATTTATTTAATGTACGTTAATCAGGCCATGATTTAACATATACGAATACAAATAAATATATTCGCCATGTGTTTAATTTCAAATTTATTAGCGTATGGGAAAAGTAATATCCGGCTATATTGGACTCCAACTACATTTTAAATCGATCTTTTTTTTTCAGGACTCATTCTTATGCAAAGCAGCGGTCCATGCAGGAGTGATATCGGATTTGTTCGGCGGAAGGATTGACGTGAGAAAAGTTCCAGGCAAGATGTGGTACATGGCGTCGGAAGCTAATGGAGTTGTTACTGAAACGTAAGTTAAGATTCTAGACCAGATTTTTCGGCCAAGAGCAAAAGATTTTGCCCACCTAGCCTGGCGGACCATGTCAGTGTCACATAAAAAGTTACATTTAATGTACAATATTTACAGTGTCACATAAGCTGTAAATGGGAAAACAATAGGAAACGATAAGCCCTGTGATAAAACTTAATTTAATCGCAATCTCAACAAATTCCTTGAGCTATTTTCTGCGAAAACATCGAAATTCGGTATTAGTTTGGTTGAGGCAGCATCAGGCGGGCCCTATTGACTTACCCAACGGGCCAGATTTGGCCCGTAGTTTGCCCATGTCAGGTGTAGAGCCTTGTTTAGAGCAAAGCGTTAAAAATGCATCATAAAAATCTCTTCTGTGTCGTGCAACGCCTTACAATTATCATATCATCAATTTTCAGTGGTGTGATGTCGGACACCATGATAAAGTTCGTCAGACCAGACGAAAGCTGTAACAGTCTGATTGAATTCCATGAAAACCAACTGACGGCTTCAAGTTATTGGACAAAGGATACAACAGGCCCGGATAAAAGGTAAGTAAACTTGTTGGGCTGAATGGAAATAAATCAACCCAAAGATAAATGCCATGCAAATATAAGTGATAAAATTATAATTGTTTTTGCACCATGAATACCAATGATATACGGAGCATGGGAACAGTATAGCTCGATTCAAAAATTGATTAGATTCTCGCTCCCCAGATAAAAAAAATTCATGCAAAAACATTTAAAATTTTCTGTTCTAGAAGTTTAAACAGAATTTTCAAACCAAACTAAGTCAAATATTTGACAGATAAATAATTATCCTAATATCTTTTTCCAGTCCGAATCTTAGTGAATGGAAACCCGACAAAGCAATCCTCGGAAAACAAATCGAAGCATGGAGTCCGAACAATCCGACAACCGAACAATGGCTTCAAGTTGATCTGAGAGAAACTAAAGTCATCACAGGTACGTAAACTCATTGTGGCGTTATATCCATTATGTGACGTCAAAATCATAATGTATCATCTTCTTTGAGCTATGAAATCACAAACGGTGTATGACGTCATAAACGCAATGTGACGTCATATTTGCGCTATGTAAACGCAAAAAAATATATGGTGTCATTATCGTGATGTGACGTCATATACCTGATGTGCCGTCATTGTCGTGACTTTTGTGACGTCATAGTAGTTATCAATGTGACATAACAAAGCCATGTGTTCCGCGAATTAAGGGTCTAGCATTTCTGTTCACACATATTTATTTTGTACATTTTGCTTTACAGCAGGGTTCGGCAACCTTTTGTCGCACGCGGGCCAAAATAAAAGGTTGCAAGTCATTGGCGGGCCGCACATATTTTTATAATGTTAAAAATCGAATGGATGACCGATGAATCACATTTTATCACACAGATCAGAAGTTAAATTTTAAGCAGCGCGCGAAGACTGAACATTTGAATATTTTTGCGCCATTAAACCATTTGCACTTAGCATCAACTTTTCTGCGTTTCGTTGTCACTTGTCAGAATTATAATTGAATTATAGGCTCATTAAACGAGTAATTGTGAATTATATACTTGTTACGGCCCGCGGGCCTTAGGTTGCCGACCCCTGCTTTACAGTGATATCAACCCGATAAACACACACATTACATGCGCACACAGAAGCTGATTAGGGTAGTTTAAAGAGCGTTAATATTATCAATAAATGTGAAAACATGAAGAAGCACATACATACACCTATAAGTTCACACATTGGTTTATTTTCATTCTGTATCAGCATGGGAATCACATATATGCACGGAAAAAAAAATTTTTCATTCCCTTTTCGATCTTATTACACTAACTTATAAACCAATTCTTTTTCAGCAATATCAACCCGGGGATCCACCAAAGACTTCTACACAACGAAGTCATATAGAATCGCATACAGGAATGATACAGAGTCGCCCTGGACATTTTACAGAGAAGAAGGCGTTGGATATGATAAGGTATGTACGATTTTTTGGATATGTTTCAAAAATGTAGTGATACACTTGTCAAGCTTAGGACATGTGTTAAGACAAACGTACCAAAGAGAGACAGCGAGACGAGTGGATCACCTCCATTTTTGAAATACGAGTTTAATGGGTTTTTACAAAAATGTAGTTCCACACTAGTCGAATTGAAAAAAGTAAGACAAAGCTAAAATAAATTGGCAGTTAATGACTGTAAAGACCCTTATACCATAGATTCAGTGCACAGTAAATCTGCTATTACCTAACTGGTAACTCTTTTTCGACTTCAAACGCGCATGGCCCACTGGTCTCAGTTTGAAAAATTAGGTAATTTTTGCCCACCCCTGTTATAAAACATAATAATCGAAGGCTTAGATACTTATTCATAGGCTCTTCTTATTACTTACTAATAGTATAGTGTTTTGCTAATGTATGAAATTGTGTAGGGGAAACTCTGGACCTTTCCAATATTACTGCTTTAGTTCGAGTGAATCTGTGGAACACCACCAATGCAACAGCTTTCAAACTACCAATATATTTACAGGTATTCGTTGGTAACAAAAACATTTTCCAAGAGACGAGGAATAACTTTATTCGTCCAAGAATCGTCGGCAGATTTTTCCGGGTTTATCCAACGCCAGTAAGAAGCGATGATTTCAGATATTCATTGCAGATTGCTTTGTATGGCTGTGACGCTGATGGTAAGAATTTATTTCTACTTAGGGACGCGGGTTCAAATCCCGTGAGAGATGGTTATGTACAGAGATGTGGAATTTGGCATGTTTTTATTGGGGTAGGATTTATATTTTCAAAATCCCAGGATTCGGGGTAGTAGATGATTTGAATTTTCTGTTGTGAGAATTTAGACCCTCAATGGACCAGTGGTTCTCAAACTTTTTCCCGCCAAATTCCCGCCCCCTTTTTAAAATTTGTCAAATCTCGCACCCACCTCAAAAATAACTAGACAACAACAAGCTACAAATAACATATAGTAAGGCTAACGTATGCTTTATTCAATAAAACACGTCCTAAATACATATCATTTTATAACATTTTACAGAAACAGAAATGCCCGTAGAGCCCATCCTTCAACCAGTTGTGACGCCATCAACAACCAAACGAACAACTACGTTATCAACGACGTCACGAGTTCCCATAGAAACCACAACAATGCCCTCCTTAGCGCCGGATCTCATCAGAGAAAGTATGATACCTGGTTGGTGCTCTCGAAGTATTCGTATCAAGATGGCGCACAACCTTAACATAGTATGTGTACCAGGTTAGGGTTAGCAGGTTGTGCGTCATCTTGGTACAAATACTTTTGGAGCGCCGCCTATGTTTTTATTCATGTAAAAAGAACATAGCGGCTTGTACAGTGTTTCAAATAGTACAAGTACAACAAAGTTTGGGGAATCGGCTTCTTCAATCATAAGGGATTTCTACGTTCTACACAAGGCTTAAGACAAGCATCCACTTATTTCTAAAATGTTGAAGTATTCATTGGTGGAATTTTACGATGAAGCAACTTATAATTCGAAATTTTGTGTTTTTTCCAGAAATTCCCTCTTCCCCTTCGCCTTAAATATATATTATAAATAAGAGGTAATTTCTGACAATACCTTGTTTTTGCAGACAATAAATCTACATCGGGGTCTCCGCCAACAAACAAAACATTGAATGAAAAAGAAGAGACAGTCACTGATGGAGGCGGTGTTGTGAAGGTAACATCCCATAAATTGGTGGTTTCTGTTTTGTGAAAACTCGCTTTCTCTGCAACGAATAAACCAATCAATTTTGAATTTTCTGTTTAAAAATTGGAAGAAGCTAATAAGATACTTTTACTATTTATTTATCTTGGTTTCGTCTATTGTTTGAAAATTTCAATTCAATAAATATTTTGCCTTCTATTTTCAGTCCCCTGTAGCTCCAACTGACACAAAGAAGCCAACAATAAACGGTGAGTCGTTGTTTACTTTTTCTTGTCGATAGTAACACGATCGCTAACAAATTATATTGGTGGCCGACGCTTGCAACGCTTTTTCGAATAATTTTCTTCATATCAAACGATTACCTGATTGTTATAGATAGATCAAATTCATTTAATAAACTGTATATTCGACAATACACAGTTCTCAACGCGTAAATGGACTTTAGCAACTCTTATATCCGTAGTCTTTTTCCTTTTGGTTATAAGCTCCGAACCTTGCTTTACGTGAACTTGAAAAATAAGTAGCTCTTCAGGTGTCAATTGTCGCTTCCAGCTCTTCTATCTTTTTAGATTGACGCACGATTATGTTTTGCAAAATAAATTTCGTTGTCCTGAGCAGGTGTTTCTCAGCTAAAGCTGAAGATCGGGTTTTCCACGAGATCCAAATCCCATTGTTCGCAAACAAAGGTTTACCCACGTGGTTTGACTTTACCTCTTATGACCCATGAATTGAAATTTTTTTCAACTCATTATTTCATCACAAAACTGTCGACTTCGCGAATTTTCAGAACGGTCACGGTCTAATGAAGCGGAACTAATCTAAGCGTCGTGATATTTGCGCAAGTCGACGAGGAATATTTTTAACCGCCTATTATACTCCGTTTTTTTTTATAAGAAAATATACTCGAAGCAGTGTCACTCACACTCACTCAGGAGTAAAGGAAACACTTATAGGAGTGAAGTAGCAAAAATAGCAATTTTTCTTTCCTTGTGTGTGATTGCACCCAAACGTTTCAAGTTATCCAAGACGCTTACCACAAAAGTTATTTTCTCTCTAAAGTACGACCTGAATGATTTGGACTTCTTTTAGGGTTCAGTAAATAAACTTCCTCGGCTAGCATGAACCTCTACATTGTATGGATGAGTATGCATCGCATACCAGCTTTTTTCGTTTCTAGTACTTTTCCATTCTCAGTCAGCTTAGCGTGTTTTGTTTAAGAAACGCGTAATCCTTTAAACCGCGACCGTAAAGCGTATAATCTGCGCTCTCCTAAAGAAAAAATTCAATGGCTGAAATGGCATAAGCTGATAAACAATGCTTATATAAAAACTTACGGTTTAGTGAGGAGTTTTTCATGATATTGGAGTTTTATTTTTTTATTTCTTGAGACATTTTTACGCGTTCACTTTGAACTATGCTTTGCACAAGAACCCACTGATACATTAAAAGCCTATAGACTATGTTTTTAATATTGGAAAGTTGTGGGTGAGACTTTAAATAGAGATATTTTCAAATGCTCACTCTGAGCAATGCTCTAGAGCTAACATGGGCAACCTACGGCCCGTGGGCCAAATACGTCACGTTAGGTAATTCAATTTGGCCCGCCCGACGTTGGCACACCCAAGCTAAAACCAAGTTTTGATGTTTTTAATAAGTAAAAGAATTTGTTGAGATTGCGGTTAAATTTAGTCGCGCGGCACTGGGCTTAATACCTACCAGTTTTGCTTTTTGTAACACTGTAAATATTGTTCATAAAATGTAACTTTTTACGTCACACTGTCATGGCCCGGCAAAGTTTTTGCCCCTGATCTAAAAACCGTGCCCACCCCTGTTTTAGGTTCAATCTCGTTTTTGAGTAAGCTAACAATGACACATAGCAATGATAAGATCTTTGTTTATGGTCAGCCATAAATAGAACAAACTCGCACGTTTAACCGGATTGAAACAAATAGAGATATCTCGTTATATACTCGGTTTGTTTTGGTTTATCGGTTAATCGAGGTTTAGTTACTAAGGTAATATTTTGTAAACACTGTTATGGAAATTTTCAGAAATTTTGTTAATAATTTGTAGTGATTAAATATGGATGTTGTGAATATGACTTCCCACTTACCCCTTTTCGAATGTAAAAAAAAAATAAAGGCATTTTTCTGTATCATACATAACAGTTTTCGGGGCGAACCAAGATGGTGGACATCGGAATGTAATATGTGTACTAGGTTAGGGTTAGGCCATAATTTTAGGTATAAATACTACGGGAGGCTCTTGGCTAGTCTTCGAACTGATAATAGGACTAAAATAAGGAAAATTGGAAAAAAATTATCGCCTAACCCTAACTTGTTACCCATGTTACGTTCCGATGTCCGCCATCTTGGTTCGCATACTTCGGGAGCACCCAATTTTCCGTACCTCGAAATGATTTTTAGATCCTCAAATATTTTAAGAACCCACGTTTTCCGATTAGCTGTTACGGTATAACTCGGCAATTAGAAAATTCAGACCCCGCCCCCTACTATTTGAAAAATCCTGGCCACGCCTCTGGTTTTCACGTCACGGCTATAACTACAATAGAGACATGCCAGATTCCACTGCTTTGGTTGTACCGTCTTAAATAAACTTTTTTTCAGCTTAAAATCCTGAAAAATGCAGCTATGCTAGGTCAGTTTACCGCAGGTTATAATTAATTTTAACCAAAAAACTGAAATTTTCACAAACCTATAATTATTTTTGGATTAGCCATCTCGCTTTAGTAACGTATAATTACATGATGAATTTCTAAGTTTTATTTATCTCACTTTTACACTGTGAAAAATAGTAGATTTACATACATAGTAACAAAAGGTTGCGTCCTCTTTGATTAAAAAAAAGTAAATTTGCTGTATGTTTGGTCTTGGCCATGATATAAATTTCTGATTCTGAGTCTTTTTCCATTTATTTACACTTTAAAAAATAGCAGATTTTACCAATATAACAGCAAATGGATTTCTAAAAAGATTATGTCCCCACACTTGGAATGTAAAAATCGCGCATTAACCTATGTAGCAACAAGATAGTCTATAAAACTGCCGTGACTCTTAAGATTGAAAAAAAAGGAAATTTATTATGTGTTTGGTCTTGACCCTCTTCCATTTGAAGCATGAACAACAGTCTAACGAATTTTAAAAATTAGCTAGGGTTATATACGAAGATCAGAATATACTCCGCTTTAGTAAGTAGCGACATGGTCGGGCAAGCGTATTACAGCAAAATCGTCATCTTGTGCAATTAAAAAAACTCATTCAATTTAAATTAGCGAATTTGTACATACCGAGATCTAAAACACCCGTATCACATATTCTAACCATGTATGACCGCCAATTAACTGATAATATAAATATACAAATGTGACGCCATAATAGCATTTTCTTTTTTATACATAAAACACCATCGTTCTTTTCGCCATATCCGCTGTTTTTTAATGTCGCATTGATATTTCTTGTCGTCTAAATATGTCGTCATAATAGTTATTATCATATTTATTTTACAGAAACAGTATAAGTGTTATATCCATAGTTGCTGTCACTTCAATATTCCCTGTCGCCCATATAATTATTTCCTTCTTCTATTTTACAGAAAACAGCATTATTGTCATCGCCATAGTCGCTGCTCTTGCTGTCACCTCGATATTACTTGCTGCATTGGTGCTTATACTTGTTAGAAAGAGGTAAGAAATTGGCCCGCCGGCCTCGCCTGATTTATGCAATGCCTCATTAACGCAATACAAAGTTAAATTTCTCTTTATTTTTCAGGAAAAAAGCACCGAAAGATGGCGCGTTGCATCCCTACCAAATGCAACAGATACATGACAATAATAATACAGGATGTGAGTCATTAAATATTATCAATTGTCTACTAAATTCTTAGTACATAAAGAGGGCAAAAGTTGCTGGAATGCCATTATGTATGTCTTGCCAAATTGTCTTTTTTGCTATTGTTGTTGTTTTTGCGAGGAATCGCCTTTTTTCGCAACAACTCGGGCCAATGGATTTCGAATATTTAATTCTCAAAAGCGGAAGGGGTGTCATAAAGGCTTTTGCTTGTTTATTTTACAAATTGCTCCGAGACTTATTGGATCCGTTTTTTTCCGTATATTTAGCCAGCCGATCGTTACGCTAATAGTACTGACATTGCAATTTTAACATCTGTATCCATATATTTTGACATTGATAGCTTGCTCCTTTCAGAGCCCGATATTTCGACTAGAATATGGCTGTTTTACTATGTATGATTCACAGGAAGACATTGATGTGACAAATGGGAACATTCTTTAAATCACACATGGGATCACTTTTATAACCTTTGAACTCTGTGTAAATATTTATTCATTTTACTTTTAGTTCAATATAAGAATAAGAAAAGTCGGAAGCGAGGCCGAAAGAACCCAGGGGTTCATATTCAAAATGAAGACTACAAGGATACTTTATTACAAGGTAAAGAATTGTTTTATATTCAGGTGTGCGAAGTCAGTAAAACTTATATCCGAGTTAGTATAAGTTCACCGGTTTTGCTCGACTTCGGGATTGTCTTTAATCAGCAGTGCGGAGTCGTTAAATAACTGAATTTGAAGTATACAAGCATAATCTTTGATTCCCCCCATGTTGGAATAAAAAATATTTTTCTTTGACTTTTTCACTTTAAGTATAGGACTCATTGTGGCTATTTGTACAGAGCTTTTTCGGGATTAAAAAAAAACGGATTATAAAAAAAGGCCTATTGTATTCCAGTTCGTAATTTCGACCTGACTCTTTGTTCTCGATAGAATGTCTTTTTTAAAATAAATTTTTGTCGTCGCCACCCCTAGAATGTAATAAATAGTGCAGACAATGCAAGACCGAAAAGCTGGACTCTTCCCAAACGTTTTGTTCGTGCGACTCAAATTATCAGGAAAAAAAGTCAAGGCGCATTTACATGGAAAAAGAAAACATGGCTTTTAAATAAATGCAATATTGAAAATATTCTAGTCTCATAAAAAACAATAGCTTCCTATAGGGACTTATTTGAAGTGAGTTTGCAAAAGCGCTCGTACGAAGCCTTGATTTGGGGTTGGAGGTATGAAACCACCTAATCATAAAAAGTCACACCGTAATGTTTCATTACAGTTCAAATTCCTCAATCCACATTGGGAATCGGGCCGAGTCAGACTGTCACACTACCAGCTGACCAGACCAGGTTTATATCAAGCCATCCGGAGAATGGATCAATGCCTGCTTTCCTAAGGAATGGAATCCCACAGAACAACACGTTCAGACAACCAGCGGAGGAAAGTGACAGTTTTACAGGTTAGTTGGAATGGTTTTTGTGTTTTTCGTAGATCGTAAATATTCTATTCAAGTATGAGTATCAATATGGAGGGAGGTAACTAATTTTGTTTGCCTATTTTACACAATTCGTGTAAAGGGACTGAAACCTATGGCTAGGGAGGTATTTATTCACCTGGCTAACACTGACACATACTTCGGGAGTACCCAAGAAATTCTGTAGCAAATCTTGTCTTGTTCTGTAGCAAATCATCTATCCAGTAGTTTTCATTGTTATTATTATAAATATTATTACGTCACAATGTATTTTCTTTTTGCAGAAGACGATGATGACGACCACGAATATCAAGTCATTCCTGACGAACTTGTCGTCAGCGACGCAAAGACTCCTGTACCAAGCGTTGGTCGCGGTTCATCAAAAGCTTCCACCGGTTCGAGCATGGGGAACCACAGTCGCAAATCAGACACAATGCAGCGCCCATGGGGTGTTGATACAAACCAATGGAATAAACAACCACAATTTGCGTCTAATTCACCGGTATTTACACCACAGCCGCATAACGGGATACAGCGCAATCCACATATGTCCAGTTTCTCGGGTTCAAGTCACCCTAATGGAGTATTTGCATATCCAAAGGGAGCTCAACTTACGCGAGCAGGGACTTTTTCACAAGGGGATTACCCACACCATCAGATTCATCCCGGGATACGACGGGGAAGTTCCCAATCTCCCACCCACTTACAACGTCATTCCTCGTCTTCTAATAATTCTGCTCATTCCTACACTCCCAATGGATCTTCCCCTTACTCCCACGACCCCAATAACCCTTACTATTCATCAGTACCCAATGGAGAAGGCAATGTACCATTGGGTTATAATCATGCAATGTATGGGGGTCCAAGCATCCCAGAACAAAATGAAATTCCTGCGAGCGCCACCAGGCGAGCACCGTCCTACAAAGTTCCAAGACAATTTGACAATGACAAGCCAGCGTTGCCAGAAAAAATTGGGCATTCATCCCATCATTTACATAATGGAAGCGACCCGTCTATAGGTAAGCAAAATAATTTTTTTCAGTTAACTTCAGTTAAATGATCATCCCGGAATCCGGAATGGAATTACATAACTCATATCTGTTTTTTTTTGGTTGAACTTATTGGCGTAAACCAGGGCTTCCCAACGTGGTCGAGGTGAACCTCCAAGGGTTGACATCGCGAGTTCAAGAGTTTACAGATAAAGTACTAATTATATCAAATGAGTACATTTCGTTAAAGTTGTTGCACTTTTCATATGTCGTTGGATAAGCTGAAACATTTGATTTAACCTATCATAGCCACACTAAATAAAGTGAATAAATTATAGAATATTTAAAATTGGAATTAAAATGAATATGCAAACTTAGTACGCAAACTAAACAAAATAAAAAACTCAAACTTGACAATCAAATGCTTCTTTAAACAGTTGAGGACGCTCGGTAGTCTCGATGCTTTTCGAGTTTTTGTGGTAAATTTCCGACCTAGTTTATTCTAATTACTACAAAGAATTTTGACTTGAAAACTAAAGATCTTTTGTACAAAGCCCCCGCCACTAATGCAAAATGTGAGAGTTGGGAAAAACACCTAATACTAATACTACCAATACTAATAAGCATGCCAAACTCGACCCCACAAACTCGTTCTCATCTTTCTCGAATAATCTCAAGAAGCAATTTTACCAAATATTTTTTATTTCTAGGTGGGCGTGGCCGAAGTATTTCTCCGACACAAAGATCAGACTACGATCGATTATATCGTAACAATAATTCAGGAGGTCACGTGATTCCAGATATTCAAAACAATTTTTCAATTTCAAATGGAAGTCACAGCCAATACAACCAATTAGATTTGAATGGCGCGAGGGTGTGAAAGGGGCGTGGTTCTTCTAAAAAAGCGTTGTTCTATCTTCTTATCTTCACTCTTTTGGAAGACAAAAAAGCGCGAAAAAAGTGGAGAACCCATTTTGGCGGCTTTTGTTCTTATGAACAGCGTAAAATTTACGGACGCTAGACGGCGCCGAAGAGTTGCAATCAATTTTTAATTATTATCGATTTTATGAGACAAAAACGACCAAATTTCAACAAAAAACTCGTTCAAATGTTGTAAAATATTTTTTTCGTCCATTTTTTGTGTTTTATACTTTTTTTCTTGAAATATGCGAAATTAATGATATCGATGCGAAATTTTTCTTTCCATGGCAAAATTTTTGACATTATTACTATATATAAGTATTCGCCATTCGTTGTCTAATTTTTTGCTTTAAAAGTATTGTTTTTGTTGCTTTTTGTCGTATTTTGAAAATTTTCCTTTAACCATTACCCGAAGATTATTGGTTTACCGCCTAATTAACCATTCTATGCAGTATGTGGAATTATATGAAAATTTCACTACTGTTAACCACAAAAAATCGGTTTCCCGTTTATGCCTATATACATACACAACGGGGTGGATTATTGGGCTACGACCGCTACGATAAGCGTCGAAGGTTTTAAATGAAATTATGACGTAATAATTCGCATAATGTCGTCATCGTTTTTAATGTGACGTAATCTTTGTGTATTGTTAGGTCATTTATTGAGAATCTACATTTCAACGAGGGTATTATGACGTCAAGTTTTATATTATGACGTCACATTCTCGTAATTCCCCCTCAGTGACCCTAAGTTTGTCAGGGTTTATATGTTTACACGATATCTAGGGAATAAATAACCTTATTTCTCAAATTTTAGGGTATGAGCGTTGTAAACAAATATTTTGCCATTATTTTATGAAATTATTCTTGTTCTCCAATCTTGCTTCCTTTATTAAAGCTGCCATTTTATTTCCTTGCCATTTTTGCGAATAATTTTTGATTTATTTTTACTCTTACAAGCTTTACAGCGATTGATGTTTAATCCCCATCATGCGATACCCCATCCGAAAAATTTAAGTCATGGAAAGTTCTCTCTTGTTCTATTCCATCCGAACTAATTTCACTTTTTAGCCGTAGAAGCAACCAGTGATACGTCATTGATTTGTGTGTTCGAAAGTGCCTAAAACTTTTTGGTTTAGTACTAGACAAGCGTTCGCTTATATTTCAGAAATATTGCCTGATTCTTGTTATTATTTCATGCTATTTTTGCCATTTTTGAACGTTATTTTCCCATATTTCTACTTATTTGCAATCATATTTTATGAAAGTCAATAGTCACTACTTCGAAACCCGGTAACCGTAGAACAGCAGTTCCCAATCTGTTATGACTTGTGGCCTCATTCTGGAAGCTTTTAGCGCCCCTTGTTGTTATTCCAGTGGTATTTAAAGTAATACTTTGATAGGTAGATTCCAAATCCCATTATGTTTAACGAATTCCTGCTCAACAAAGTGAAAACACACTGCAAAATCAATCAATGAAACTTGGGAGAACGAGGAGTTTTCTAGTAAAAGTAAAATCAGTTTTGCGCCTGACATGATGGCCCCCTCCAGTTGCATTGTGGCCCCATTGGGGGCCACGGGCTCCCGGTTTGGAACCACTGCCTTAGGATATTTTTAGTAGTAAATGGCGGAGAAATTTACTTCGCTCTAAATAACATTATGACGTCTGACAATGCCCGAAAACTCTCCAGGCTGAAAATAAGCTTCGTCACCGATTTACTATACAATCTTCTTATTGACTAAAATATAATTTCATTTGCATATTATCAATAGATGTCTATATATTCTTATCTTTATTATCAATGTGGTAAATTATATCACGTTTGAAGTATTTATAACCTGATGACGTCATCAGTATGTATTACGTCATACTTCGTTGAAAATATCGATACCGAACATCAAAAATAGTACTATTTAATTACCAGAATACCGTGTTTACGTTATTATATAACAATATCGGTTAAATGAGTGTAATACCAGTATTTTTTCTAAAATAGCTTTCCAACTACCAAAGTACTGGTTCCTGAATACCGGTATCGGTTACAAATGGTATTACTAAACAACTATAAATGATCAATAAAAATAACGACAATCTCAAGTATCAGAATATCGTTTCCGGATTACCGGTATCAGTAATGTTAATGATGTATGTATCAGTACCGGTATCGTTCATCTAAATCAACGGTAAATCGGCATTATCAGCCATACTAACTGTATCGGTACCAATATTATTCTCCATCGACAACTTTTTCAGTGTTTATTTGCGATATATAGCATTTAGTCAACATGATTTACATTTTTTGAGCAAATTTGTTACGTTTTGTGCGTTTTAATGCGTTATTTTGCGTATACCGCGTTTACCCGAAAATGAGACCAAGCCTTAATTTAAAAAAAAGGATTTTAATATAAGCCTTCCCTTAAAATAAGATCTATTCGTGTATCGTATTCGTAAGAATGGATATCGGTTTTCACATTTTGTATATTTGAAAATCTCGTAATTTTTTACTTTGTTATTTTATTTTTGATAGATGAAAATGAAAGACATCCCCCCCAAAAAGCCCTAGTGTTATTTTTAGAGAGAAAATTGAAATAGGACCCTTGTTTCATTTTCGGGGAAACACGGTAGTTGCGTTTTATTGCTCTCTAATGCGCATTGTTTCATTTTTTCGCGTTTTATGGCGCTTCCATGCGCACTATCGCGCGTTTAGTTGCGTTTTTTCGCGCTTTTTCTCGTTTTATGCTGCAGTTGTTTATTATCGCAAAACCGTATTGCTTTTTTCTCGTATTATTATTATTTCTCTTTACTTTTATTATAACTGTGCATTGACTAACAACAATAATAAATGAATAAAAATATCTACAATATAAATTATGTTTGTTACATTTTTGGGGGCACGAAGAAAACCTAGGTGACGCCATGACTGATGACGACATTAAAAATGCAAATATTTCAATATATATTCGTCCCATTGAAAGAAATTAGGAAGTGAAAAATATGCACCTCAGTGCACATCACCGCTGTTCATAAAAGTCACGAATATATTCTGTTCGATGCATTTTCAATTTAGGTGACGTCATGGCATGGCGGATGACGTCATTGACTTACGAAATGAATGGGAAACGCAAAAATTTGTCCCATTAAGAGAAATTAGGAGTAAAAAATATGCACGTGGTGCACATCGCCTCTGTTAATAAAAGTCACGAATATATTCTGTTCGATGTATTTTATTTATAAATGGGTTCGTCGCGAGTTCTTTGAGTTCGAGAGAGATTTATTGTTTCGTCAACCAGAAAACAAGCAATGGTACAATAAAATATATACAAAATATGCAAGTCAATTCGGTATAGACTGCGAGGAGCGATACGACCGTATCATCATCAGAGTAGGCTCCCCGCAAATTAACCATTAAGATTCACAGTTAATGTATATGAACAATGTATAAATTGGTTCTTTGTTGGAATATTACAGAATATTATTGGGTTTTAGCTAAGTTACAGTTTTAAGTCAAAAAGTTAGAACTCTGTCCTTTCTCCACTTTCAGGATTTGTCATTATAATTTGAAGCAATTTTGCGGATTAGAGGACTACTGAATGGTTATATGGTATGAAGATTTCTTTCTATAGCGATAATTACGACTCGTTTTATTTGGTGGATGTGTGACAATTTTTACAGCGTATAGCAGGGTCGGGCACGGTTTTTGGACCAGGGACACAGACTGGCGGGCCATGTAATTGTGACGAAAAAAGTTACACGTGACGTACACACGACAAGCGCACGTGGCGTAAAAAAAGAGAGCCTAGAATTCAGGGGTCTCAAACTCAATTTACTTGGGGGCCGCTGGGGCAGAGTCTGGATGAGTCCGGGCCGCATCAGGTTTTTCACAATAAAAGCTTAGCAACTCGTTTAAATTGTATTCCTTGTGCACTGCAACTTTCTCTGTGCAGATAAGACGTGTCGGGATGCTCCTATGCTCAACAAAGAAAAATTGCATTACCCAATACTTTGAAATTTTCTGTGCTCATCACCAACCTTTCTGTTTACTGAAACTTCACTTCCAACGACACGTTTAGGGATGTGCGAAATTATAAAATTCCATCTTGTAATAACTGTTGCGCTGATGTTTCAATCAAGCATTTAGCCGATGGACATAAATCTAAGCGTTAGTGATTTTGACGTCAAAAATCATGGAACATTGTTTTTAAATTATTTCAGGCGATCCCGCGATAGAATATCAGGCCTACAGGTATGGTACTGGTAGGTTACCGCACCGCATATTCCTTTCAGGGGATAGACGATAAAATATTCTGTTTTGCTCTACGTGGAAGTTTCCCTTTTTCGGCCACGGAACACTTACACTTTTTATATCTCTTCGCGGAACACCAAAAAATAAAAGGGTGAAATTGATAAAGAAAAACGGTGCAATGTAGCGGTTTCCAATGGTTTCGCCGTGGCGAGTTGCAAATGCGCGAAAAACTTTCAGCATTTCAAAGTAAAACCAGGTGGAGATGGAGGAAGAACGGTTGACCTTTTGCCTTTATTCTTTAGACTTACTTGTTTGTCTTTAACAAAACCAAAAGTCAAAAGTTAACAGTCAAAAAGCTAAACCGACGGTTAACGAAAATGCCACTACCCTAACTTAGTAAGTCCACTTTAGGCCGACGGTGACGCAATTTTAAACGGTCAGTTGGGCAACAACTTCATGATTCTCAGATCGCCATGGCGACCAATTTAGATGTATTTTTGATTCCTTTTCCACGCAACACTCGGGAGATGCTCGCGGAACATTAGTGTTCCGCGGAACACAGTTTGGGAAACGCTGTTATATTAAAAGCATCAATCATGATAACTGAGCTGAGTGACTTGCGGGCTACACTACCTACTTTAATACTAAGGCGAGGGCCACAAACTATCATCCTGCGGGGCGCAATTGGCCCGCGAGTTTGAGACCCTCGGCCTAAATGAAATTCCATCCAGAATTGCATAGTAACAGAAGACTTGTGCAGCAGGCTACCGAGCCAGAGATTGGTCATTCTATTGCAAAATGAATGACCGGAAACAAATCCAGATTATTGCGTCATACATATTCGAATAACCCTATTGTGATGTCAACAGATCAAATTATTCAAGGGGAATGACTGATCGAATTATATCACTGACAACATCCTGAATTCTGCTGACTCACTATTACATCCTGTCAATCTTATTCGATGCTTGGATCAGGATAAAAGCTGTCAGGCAGGGCTGCGATATTTTCTCTCGAAGTCAAATTTCGGTCGGGAGTCAAACTGATCTTAGACTAATCTAAGGAGAACAGAATCAAGGAATACAGATTAGAAAATTAGTTTATTCAATTCAAGAGTCCAGCTGCACACTTACACAAATATATTTCTGTAACGTTTCGTCTGACCAAGATTAGATTTCCTCAGACAAGCATGTTTACAACAAAGGCAAGAAATGACCTTTCATATAGCGATAAATAAATTTGTTCTAACAAGAGGCATAGAGAAAAGAGCAGTGGCGTATCTGCATAAACTGGCGCCCATGGCAAAGTTTGAAAATGCACCCCATTGATCGTTGACTGACTATTTTTATTAACAGCTTTTGTTGGAATTGAATACTTGTACGTTATTATTTAAATACGAATTGCTGATATTTTTAATTTCAAATTATATTTTTGGAACATTTTACAACTAAAACTTTTCACCGTTTTTGCGCCCCCATCCAAACGACGCCCATGGCACGAACACTGGCTGCCACACCTTAGATACGCCACTGGAAAAGATGTCGAGTTAGTCTAGCGCAACCCAACTCAAAGTTAGAAAATTAGTGGTTGGACAAAGCCAAGACAGTTCCTTAACTTAATTCACGGTATGCTAAGAAATCAGAGGTGACAGAATAGGGGCCGAAAAATACTATTACCTCCTCCAGGTTATGTTAACAGGCTATATCTACGACGTGCAAATAAAAAGATTCAGATAAAAAAGGTA